TTAACTTTATTCAATTTTGTAGTGGAAAGGAAAAACTACCAAATTAGCACCTATATTTATTTGAGATTTTAGAGCCTTTTTAAAAGATTTATTGGATGCCAACAAACTAAATAATTTAATTTTTTTTTTATGTAAGAGATTCTAAATTCGAGTTATATAGGATGCTAATGAAATAATATAAGAAATGAAAAGCAGTTATCTCTTATTATCCAACTAAAATAAAAAAAAAAGTTTATTGGATATTTATTTAAGATATTTGATAGATTTTAAAAGACATATAAAGTATTTATTTGAAATTTATTACTTCTTTTATTTATTTTTAGTAAACTTAATTTAATTTTTTAACTTTTTACATATAAATTTTAAATAAAAATTTAATATATTATATAAATGATAATTAAAATTTTTAATCAAATAAAAATAATTGTCAAGAACTTCATATAAATTTTTTTTCAATTGTTATTTATATAAATTGTTAAATTTACATATGAAATTTATATCTCAAAAATTACAAAATCAAATTATATCTACTAAAAATAAACAAAGAGCATAAAGATTTTAACAGTTTTTATACTCCTTTAGTTCTAAAATAATTATTCTTTTTTATTTTGAGTTTGTCTCAAATTAATTATAATTTTTTTTAAGCTAGATAAATATTTTTTTCTTACTTTAACATATCATTGTCTATTTACATTCATTAATTGTCTTATTACAAAAAATCTATCTTTAGTTTGTTTAAGGATAATATTAGTAAATACATAACTTACTTTTAAATTCTCAACTTGGAGAAAAAGCAAAAACAATGAATAATTATTTTAAGATAAAAAAAATAGTGTATAGTAAGATAATATAAGGTTTTTACTTTCGTTTTGAAATGTAAAACGTTGGTTGATAGAATTATATTCCCAACTTTAACTTTATTTAATTTTGCAGTGGAAAAGATATTAAAGCTACCAAATTAGCTACTTTAATTTCCAGCAGTATTGTATGTAGATGTTGAAGCAAGACTAAGAATGTGGAACTAATGTTAACTTTAAGTGCACCATAAGCAGTAGCAGAACTACGAACTAGGGTTCAGTCGAGTAGAACACAGTTAGGGACGTTTAGTTTGATAATGTTGATATGTAGTTATAGTT